GCACGCTGGCGAGGCTGAGAACTTTCCAGCTGCGCAGTCCACGAGGCTGGATGTCTCGAAATTCCTAGTCTGGTGCTGAAGGCCAGGGGATTCCTTTAGAGTCGCTGGTCTTCAGTCCACATTAGAAGGTGCATGAATCGAGAGCCTGATGTCAGTGAAGGATGGTGGCAGCAGTAACAGCCACAGGAATGGCCTCACTCACCAGTAAGAAGCTAAGGCAGGCAGGTAGGCAACGAGGACCTCTTTATATCCAGGCTATCCTCTGGAAGCTGCTGCCCATTCTGATTGGCCAGTCTTCCCCCCTCAGTAAATCCTTTCTGAAGATGACCTCACACACCTATCCAGGGGCGTGTCTCTTAGTGGATCCCAGATTACAACAGGTTGACAATCAAGATTAATCATCACAGCACCTATGAACCCAAGCCTTGATGTGCCGTGGACAGGGAGTAAAGTGACACCCAGCTGCTGCTCAGAGCAACTGCAGTCATCCTCTTCCTCAGGTCAGCAGATATTATCTCCCACCCAACTGCTCATGCAGGTTATGTAGCAGTCCCCCTCCTCCTCCCTTCTCCCCAGTCATTCATTAAGAAATCTTATTAATTCTGCCTTTCACATCTATCTTCATTCCATTTCCCTCACATCCAAGTTCCCTCCATCTCTTTCCTAAACTCTGTGCTATGGTTTGAATGTGAAATGTACCTCCCATAGGCTCATGTATTTGAACACTTGGTCATGGTTGATGGTGCTGTTTGGGAAGTTGTGGAACCTTTAGGAGGTGGAGCCTTGCTGGAGTAAGTGCATCACCAAGGGGTGGGGGGAGTAGGCCTCCAAGTTTTATAGCCTGGCCCTACTTTCTGTTTACTCTCTGCTTCCTGACTAAGGCTGCAGTGATACCAGCTAGCCTCCTGCTCCTGCCAGCATACCTTCCCACCAGGACAGAATTTATCCCCTCAAATGGTAAACCAGAATAAACCTCTCTTTTTAAAAAATCTTTTTAAAAATTATTTTATTTTTATGTGTATGAGTATATTGTCTGCATGTATGTAAGAGCACTCATGTCATGCAATGCCCATGGAGGTCAGAAGAGGGCATTGGATTCCCCTGGAACTGGAATTACAGTTGTTAGTTACCATGTGAGTATTGGAAACTGAGCCAGGGTCCTCTGCAAGAGCAGCCAGTGCTCTTAACCACTGAGCAATCTCTCCAGCCCCTAAAAAATCTTTTATCTATTTTTGTTTTATATGTATGTTTTGCCTGCATGTATAAGTGTACCTGTGTCATGCAATGCCTGTGGAAGCCAGAAGAGGGCATTGGATCCCTTAGAACTGGAGTTTTGGATGCTTGTTAACTGCCATGCGAGTGCTGGGAACCAAACCAGGGTCTTCTGTAAGAGGAGCCAGTGCTCTTAACTGAGCTATCTCCCTATCCCCATAGAATAAACCTTTCCTAAATTGCTTCTTTTAAAAACGTTCAAAAATTTTTATTTATGTTTGTGTATGAGTGTTTTGCCTGCATGTATGTAAGTGTACCACAAGTGTGCAGTGCCCAATGGAGGCCAGAGGAGTGCATCAGATCTCCTGGAACTGGAGTTATAGATGGTTGTTAGCTACCATGTGGGTGCTGAGAACCAAACCGGGGTCCTCTGCAAGAGCATCAAGTGCTCTTAACCTCTGAACCACCTCTCTAGCCCCTTAAATTGCTTATTGCTAGGTATTTTGTCACAGCAACAAAACAGTAGCCAATACACTCTATAATGATTTCTTATTTGCGTTCCAGATACCTCTTGCCTCCCACTCTCTATTCTCACAGACACTTGAGTGATCTTAGTAAAATAAAGAGCTGACTATGAGGTGCTCCAGCACAAGCCCTTGGGTGGTCCTCCTCCTGTCTTCAGAACAAAATCTAAATTTCCTAATTTGGTCTCTGAACTCATGTATGGCTGGCCCTTTCCCTGTGGTTTCATTCCTCAACCCCTAAATGCTTCTCTCTCTACTTCTGAATTTCATGCAGTTCCTCCACACACAGCCTTCTCTCCAGGTGACACTTTCTCAGTGTATGCATACACAGGCCCTTTGCATAACATGCTCATTCTACTATCTCCTCTTGATTACTCATTTTTTCAAACTTAAAAGCTAGGTATAGGGCTGGAGAAATGGTTCACCAGTTAAAAGCATTGACTGCTCTTACAGAGGGCCCAGGTTCAGTTCCCAGAACCCACATGACATGGCAACTCACAATCATCTGTAACCCCATTTCCAGAGGATCTGACACCCTCTTCTGGCCTCTGTGGGCATTGTATGCATGTGGTGCACTTATATACATGCAGGCAAAACACATAAAATGCAAATTAATTAAAACACAAGATATAATTTAAACAGTCAAATCCATCTTTCACCATGTACAGTCCCATGAGGTTTCACAAATCCATAGTGATTGGCCAGAGAGATGGTTCAGCGGTTAAGAGCACTGGCTGCTCTTTCAGAGGAGCTAGGTTTGATTCCCAGCACACACACATGGTGGGTAACAGCCACCTGTAACTCCAGTTCCAGAGGATCTGACACCCTCTTCTGACCCTCAGGCATTGCATGACATGGGTGCATTTACATATATCCAGGCAACACACTCGTACACACAAAAAATTTTTTTTTAAAAATCCATAGTGATCGGAGCTGGAGAGACAGCTCAGCTGTTAAGAACACTGGCTGTTCTTGCAGAAGACCCGGATTCAAATCCCAGCACCCACATGGCAGCTAACAACTGTGCGTAACTCCAGTTCCAGGGAATATGACAGCCTCTTCTGTTCTCTGCAGGCATTGCACGACATGGGTGCACTTACCTATATACAGGCAATACACACATACACATAAAATAAAAATAATAAAAAACCCCATAGTGATGGAGCCACCATCACTGCCAAAATACAGAACAGTTCCATTACCCTAAGAAATTCCCTCATGCCTTGTATTAGTGGGGGCTCTCTAGAGGCCCAGAACCAACAGAATTAGCACGTATTAAAGGAGATTGTTAGATTGGCTCACACAGTAGGCACTGAATAGTCCCACAGAGGCCGTCTGTACCTGGTAGACCTGCTCAGCCCTTAAGGCTAGATGTCCCAACCTGGCAGTGAAGGCCTGGAAGACTTTGGGGAGCCGCTGGTCCTTAGTTCACATTGGAAGGTCAAAGCTTCTCGGTTCTGATGGCAGCCAAAGATGTCAGCAGCAGCTTGGCAGCAAGAAGCAAAGGCAGGCAAGCAAGCAAGCAGCACTGTCTTTTCCTTGAACTTCTGTATCTGGGCTGCTGTTGGGGTGGGGGTGGGGTCTCTCCTCTCTGAGGGAGGGTCTTCTTCTCTGTTAATCCTTCCTGGAAATATCTTCACAGACCCAGCAGATTCAACCAAGCTGACAAGATTAGCTGTCACACACCCTTCTAGTCAACCCTAACTCCCATCCCCAGCTCTTGACAAGCTCTGATCTGATTTCTGCTTTGCATTGTCTAGAATGTCCTATAAATGGAACCCTCCTCCTCTTACTTTTCCTCCTCTTCCTCCTTTTTTTTTTTTTTTTTTTTTTGAGACAGTATCTCACTATTTAGCCCTGGCTTGCTATGTAGTCCAGGCTGTTCTCAAATTCACAGAGATCTCCTGAGTGCTGGGATTACAGGTGTGTATCACCACACCTGGCCTTATATGTAATCTTTCAATGAGTATGTAGTCTTCTTAAAATTTATTTTATTATATGTGTATGTGTGTTTTGCCTATATGTATGTATGTATGTGTACCACCTATGTGCAGTCCCCTCAGAGACCAAAAGAGGGCATGTGGTCCTCTGGAACTGGTGTTATAGATGGTTGTTAGCTGCTATAATGTATGTGCTGGGAACCAAACCCCGGTCTTCTGCAAAAGTAGCAAGTGCTTTTAACTACTGAGCCATCTCTCCAGCATCCCCCTCCCCAACACTTTTGAAATGGGGGTCTCATTATGTAGCCTAGAACTTACTATTCAGCCCCAGTTGGTATTGAATTTGAGATCCTCCTGCCTCAGTCTCCCAAGTACTGGGATTATAGGTGTGAGCTACATGTCTGACTAAGTTTACTCATTTAAATCTCTGCTGGTGGGCCCTCAAGATGGCTCAGTGAATAAAGGGCCTGTTGGCAAGCCTGATGACCTGAGGAGGGAACTGACTCCCAAAAGTCTTCTACTGACCTCCACACACATCTCTCTCTCTCTTTCTCTCCCTCACTGTACACTCCTCAAAGGCAGAAAGCACCTCACTTTCTTCTGCTCCATACACAGGCAGGCCTGAAACAGAATCTTTATACAACCAATATTAAACTGGGATTAATGGCTACTATTTGTAATCCCAGCACTCAGGAAACTGACGCAGGAGGACTGCCACCAGTTTGAGGTCAGCCTGGGCCTCCATAGTGAGCTCCTCCAAGTCAGCCTGAGCTACAAAGACCCTGTCTCAAAACAAAAACAAGGCAATTAAAAAAAAAATCAATGTATGTGAATACTTGCTTGGCAAATCAAAGAACTGACTGAGATGCATAAGTAATCAGAAACAAGATTTTGCGATCATGAATCCTATCGACTCCACGTGATGCTAGCCGGGCCTGGAGGCAAACGCCTTTAATCCCAGCACTCGGAGGCGGAGGCAGGCCGATCTCTGTGAGACTGTGGCCAGCTTGGTCTACAGGGCAAGTTCCAGGCCGTTGCGAGACCCTGTCTCAAAAACACCAAAAATGAGTGAATGAATGAATGAATGAATGAAGTGATGCTAAATCGAGCGTGGTGGTGCACGCCTTTAATCCGCGGGAGGCAGAGACAGGCGGATCTCCGTGGATTCGAGACCAACTTGGTCTACATGGCGAGTTCCCTGCCAGCCACAGATACATACTGAGCCCTTAAGGATGCAAGCGTTTGCGATGACGACACGGATGACTCTCCTAGCGAAGAGTCAGAGGGAAGGGGCGGAACCGGAAGCAGAAGTGGGACCTAGAGTAAGCGGCGTCTGTGTTGCCATGGAGCCGGACGGGGCAGACAGGGAGGAATCTACTACTTCGCAGACTTTTACTAACCCGGAGACTACATGGGCGTCCACCTCGCATCTAGCCGGGTCCAGCAGCCCCAGCTGGCCCACCAGGAAGTCCTCTTTGCGGTCCTTAGTCGCCTGCTCCGGCGTCCACCGGTACAGCTTCGCCGCTCGGCCCAAGCGCGTCGGGTTCCCGGGGCTTGAGTCGCACCGGGAGCCGCAGCTGCTGCGTCTGCGCCCCGCCTCGCTGCGCACCCAGGACATCTCGCACCTGCTGGCGGGTGTCTTCCGCAACTTGTACTCGGCCCAGGTGATCGGCGAGGACTTGAGCGACAGTCTGATCAAGGCCCGTGGCAGCGAGGATGAGCGGCACGAGGAGTTTGTGGACCAGCTGCGGCAGGTAACAAGGCTGGGCGCCCCGTTAGTCTGCAGAGGATTCTAGAGGCGCTGGGCATCGGTCAGCCTAGACTGGTGCCGGTGAAGAACACTATCCAAACTTTACACGTATTCAAATGCACATACACTACCTGTAAATGGCATCTGTCCCGCCTTTCCTTGCATTCTTTGTATTGCATATTATGTGTTGCATCTATGCGCTGTACCTTATGTGTTGCATATATAAATGAAATGACTGAGGCAGAATAGTTCCCTTGAGGTGATGAAGCCCAAAGTCACCCCTCCTTTGTGGTGACTTTGTATCACAAACCACAATCTTGACTGAGGCGTTTGTACCCATATTTTTGGATCCCTGGGTTAGCAAGGCGGCTTCCTTATCGGCACAGGGGTCAAACCAGCTGTCCTGAGTTCTCCGTGGTGAGCCTGCCTTGTTCACCCACTGCTGAGAACTCCCCTTTACCCGAGGGAACCTTGCCCCCAACCCAGTCCTACACCTCCTTCAGTGACATTCATTGGGGAGTGCCCCAGCTTCATTCATTTGCCTATTGTGTGCCATGGTACAGTCTTAGTGGAATAAATGCTGCAAGTGTAAAGCCCTTAGTTAAACCCCCAGTGATGCAAATAAGAAGAGAGAGAGAGAGAGAGAGAGAGAGAGAGAGAGAGAGAGAGAGAATATGAATATAAGGGCTGGTGAGATGGCTCAGTGGGTAAAGGAGGGAGTTTGCCACCAAGCCAAACAACCCCAGGACCCACATGGTGAAAGGGGAGAACCAGCTCTTGCAAGTTGTCCTCTGACCTCCACATGTGCACTGTGGCATGTGTGCAACACACACACACACACACACACACACACACACACACACACACTGCTCCATAGCATACAAACTGATTGAGGTAGATAAACAGCATGAGTATCTATATAGTATGAGGGATATTGATGGGACCCTCCTCTTCCCCTCCATAGGTTATAGGCATCCTGAAATCCAGGCAGAGCCCCTAGATGGGACCAGGTGCTCTGTTCTTTGGGCTACCATGTTCAGTCTGCTGACTTCAGCCTACCCAGACCAGACAGACTTGGCTCTAGAACTTTTGACTTCCATCTGTGTCATTCACAGGAACCTGAACATATAGGGTGCTGTTAACCTGTAAACCTAATGACCCATTCTATTAGAGGCTACCTCTTTAATTACATTTATCTGTGTATACACCTGCACACATATGACACGGCACACAAGTGGAGGTCAGAGGACAACTCGAATGAGTCCTGGGTCACACTCAGGTCATGGGGTTTGGCAGCAAGTAGAGGCTGCCTCTAGTATCTCTCCTGAGAAACCACTAGGCTGGGGTCTGATCTTGCAGAGTGAGCCCTCTTTTGAAAAAAGAAAAAAAAAAGACTTTGAAAAAATTGAAAATAAAAGAAGCAAGTTGTATTTGTTGCAAAAGTTTCAGAAGGGAGGAAAGTCTGAAGAGTGTACAGAAATACGACTATGCAAAGATACATGGACTATAAGTTATATATATCTATACCCTCCCTTCCTCCCTCCCTCTGTCTGTCTGTCCTTCCCTTCATTCCTTCTTTCCTTTTCTTCAAGATAGGCTCTTGCTATGTGTCTCTGGCTAGCCTGGGACTTACTGTGTAGACCAATCTGGCCTCAAATTTGCCCTGATTCTTTTGCTTTAGCCTCCCGAATGCTGGGATTACAGACATGCACCACCGTATCTGATGAGTTTTTAATTTGTTTTGTTTTTGGGACAGGGTCTTATGTAGCCCAAGCTGGCTTCAAAGTTGCTATATGATCAAGACTGGTCTCGCATACCTAATCCTCCTACCCCCCTCCACCTTCTAAATGCTGGGATTACAGGCATGCACCACCACCACACCCCACACTGTGGCATATGATGGGTTTGTTAAAAAGAATGAATTATGGGGCTGGAGAGATAGCTTAGCGGTTAAGAGCACTGACTGCTCTAGCAGAGGACCCGGGTTCAATTCCCAGCACCCACATGGTGGCTACAAACCGTCCTTAACTTCAGTTCCAGAGGAATATGATGCCCTCTTCTGAATTCCACGGCATTGCCCGACACAGGTGCACTCACATACATGCATACAATACACTCACACACATAAAATAAAATAATAATATATATATAAACAGAATGAATTATACCTGTGTTATAAGCAGAGCCACCTGTAATTAAGTTTAGAAATAAACTCATCGGGAAGTGCCAGGAGGATATTATAATAATACATATTAATATATGCATGGGAAAAAGCTGAACAGTTTGTCAGAGTGTTAATAGTATTCTTATGGGATGTTGGGGGAAATTTTAATTTTCTTTTGATATCTCTATATTTTCCAAACTTTTACAGTGCACATTAATTAATTATGTAATTACCAAAAGGAAACTTTAACAAGATGTAGTGGACTGCATTTGTAATCCCAGCCCTTGTTGGACAGAAGCAGGATGGATGATGGCCACAAGTTCAAGGCCAGCCTCATTTACATAGTGGTTTCCAGACCATACAGTGCCTAAATGGTGAGACTCTGCCTCTCAAAAAATAAAGAAACATTGGAAGAGCATGCTTTTATTTCTGTATCTTAGTTACCTCTTTTACGCACCTGTCTCTGCACCTGATCTTAGTCAAAAGGCCAAGAAGCAATCTCACCTGTCTCTGGATGTTGCTGCCACACAACTGTGTAGATCTAGGGTTCATTCTTTATTTTTTTAAAATTTTAAATTTTATTTATTATTATCTTTTCTTATTTTATGTGTATGCGTGTATTGCCTGCATGTAGGTAAGTGCAGCACCCATGTCATGCAATGCCTGTGGAGGTCAGAAGAGGCTGTCAGATCCCCTGGGACTGAAATTATGGACAGTTGTTAGTTGCCATGTGGGTGCTGGGATTTGAACATGGGTCTTCTGCAAGAACAGCCAGTGCTGTTAACTGCTGAGCCATCTCTCCAGCCCCTTCTTTATTTTTATTTTTTAAAAAATAATTTATTGAGAATTTCATACAGGGATATAAGCATATAAGGTGTTTTGATCAAATCCATCATTCTTCTTTATTTTTAAAGATTTATTTTATTTTTAATTGTGTGTGTGTGTGTGTGCATGTGTGTGCAGGTGCCCCAGAAGTCAGTGGCATCAGATCCTCCTGAAGCTAGAATTATGGTTGTGAGTCAAGTGATGTGGGTGAATGCTGGGTATCAAACTCCAGTCCTTTTCAAGAGCAGTGCACACTTTTAACCACTGAATCATCTTTTCAGCTTTCAGCCCTCTTTTCTTTCAAAAGTCCTTCTTTCTGGGCATGTGGGCACATGCCTTTAGTCCCAGTACTCAGGAAGCAGAGAGTGGATCTCTCTCAGATCCAGGCCAGCCTGGTCTACATAATGAGTTCCAGCCCAGCTGGAGCTACAAGGAGACCCTGTCTCAAAAAGACCAAAAAAAAGTCATTTTTCTTGAGAGAGAAGATGTAATCACCACCATTCAGTATGGAGTCTATTTTATTTATTTACTTTCATGGGAGTGTTTTGCCTGCATGTATGTGTACCCATGTCATGCAGTGCCCACAGAGGCCAGAAGAGGGTGTTGGATCCCTTGGAACTGAAGTTATGGACAGTTGTTAGCTGCCATATGAGTGCTGGGAACCAAATCCCCATCCTCTGTAAGAGCAGTCAGTGCTCTTAACTGCTGAGTGCTCTCTCTCTCTCTCTCTCTCTCTCTCTCTCTCTCTCTCCCCATTTTGTTTTTGTTTTTGCAATACTGAAGACTCAGCCTGGGGTACATCCTCAACTGGCATTCTATCCCAGTTATATCACCAGCCCTTCAAAAATTTTTATTTTGAGACATGGCCTTACTAAGTTTCCCAGGCTGGCCTCAAACTTATAATCTTCCTGTCTCAGCCTCAGGTAGCTAAATTTCTGGCATGTGCCTCCATGCCGGGCTCATTCTCTCTTTTATTTTTAATTAGCATATGTTAATTATAATGAGTTTCACTATAGCATTTCATTTGTTTACGTAATATATTTTATCATATTCACCTCCGTAATCCTCTCTTACCGTTCCTACTCCTGCTGTTCCTGTTCTTATTCCCACCTAATCCCTCTTCTATTTACATATTAATTTACTTATTGATTAATTGATTGATTGATTGACTGATAATCAATGAATTTCATTAGGGTTACTTACCAGATCACGGGTGAGGGATTATTTATAAGAACCCCTTATCTGTGGCTACACCACTGGAGAAACAGCCTCTCCCTCTCCCAGTGACCATTAATTGCCTGTAGATCCTTGTGTGGGGCGTCATACCTCCCTCCCACTTCCCGTGGCAGAACATTAACAGGCTCAGTCTTGAGCAGGTCTTGTGCAAGTAATCACAGCTGGCCCGAGGTCAAGCATGCAACATCCATGCTATCCTCAGAATTCCACCTCACTCCACCCCTTCCTCTGGCTTTTACATTCTTTCCACCTAGTCTTCTGTGGTGTTTCCAGAGTCTTAGAGGGGATATACTAAAATCTTATTTGTGGCTGAAGGTTCAACAATCCCATATTCTCAGCCCTTTGACCAGTTATGAATCTCTGAAGTTACCACTGCCCACTGCAAAAAGGAGCTTCTCTGACCAAAGCTGATGGTGACAGTAATCTGATTGTTGAATATCATGGCCTCTCTTGCTCTGAGTTCTCCCCACATGGCCTCATTGGCTGTTTGTCTTTATCAGATCCATCTACAAAGTATCCTGTGGTCTAATGATTAAGTACATGCTCAGGCTTTATACTCTGGTTTGAATACTGGAATTTCCACATATGACCTCTCTGACCTCAGACAGTTTCAATTTCCTCATCTATAAAAGGGGGGTAATAGGGCTGGAGAGATGGCTCAGAGGTTAAGAACATTGGTTGTTCTTGCAGAAGACCCGGGTTCGAATCCCAGCACCCACATGGCAGCTAACAACTATCCTAACTCCAGTTTCAGGGTATCCAACAGCCTCTTCTGTCCTCTGAGGGCATTACATGACGCAGGTGCACTTACCTACACGCAGGCAATACACACATACACATAAAATAAAAATAATAAATAAAATATTTTTGAAGGGGGGGTAATAATATCTAGCACTCTTGAGGTTGAGGCAGTAAGATTGTGAGTTCAAGGCCATCCTAGGCTATATAGTAAGACCCTCATTCAGAAAGCTAAAATAATCCTCCTCCTCCTCCTCTTCCTCCTCCTCCTCCTCTATCCTGTAGGTTATTTTGAGTCAGTTCAGTAAAGAATCATTAAGAAACAACCTTGATTATGAGCCTAACTCCTATACCCAATAATTAGGGTCAGGGCTTCCTAGAAGACCCAAGCAATAGGTCAAGTGACTCAGGCATGGTATTTCATATTCAAGGAATTGTCATGGCCACAGCTCCCTGAAAGGTTTCTCCACCCCAAGAAGGTTTAGTCACCTTCTAGCCTTCATTAGCCACCTATAGCCCACTCATAATTTTATGAAAATTAATAAAAGAGTCCATTCCACTTATTTCTGTGTTCTCTCCTGCTAAAATGTAAACTCCTTAACTGGGTGTGGTGTCACATGCCTGTCGTCCCATCACTCAGTGGACTGCAGCAGAAGGATCACCCTAAGTTTTAAATCAGCTTGGGCTACATAGTGACCTCTAGGCAATCCAGGGTCACAGTGTGAGACCCCACTATCTCAACAAAATAAGTCAACTTGAGAGAAAGTGTACTAGATACATTTCTTTCCTCAAGTGCACATGATAAATGAAAATGTATAGTAAATATTCAATGAAAGAATCACTAAGGCTGGTGAGATGACCCAGGGTAAAGGTGCTTGCCACTGGGTCTGGAGAGATGGCTCAGTAGTTAAGACGGTGATTGATCCTCTTGCAGTGGTTGATCCTCTTGTGGGGGATCTGGGTTCAATTCCCAGCACCCACATGGCAGCTAACCATCCATAACCCCAGTTTCAGGGAATCCGAAGCCCTCTTCTGACCTCCTTGGGCATTACATGACACGGGCACACTTACACACATGCAGGCAATACACTCATTCACATAAAATAAAAAGTAATAAATAAAAATAATTTCTAAAAATGACACTTGCCACCATGCCTGAAGACCCGAGTTTTATCTCTGGGATCTACATGGTGGAAAGAGAGAATCGACTCCCACAAGTTGCAAGTTGTCCTTGGTTCTCTACAAACTCACAGTAGCATGCATGCCTCCTCCCATAGATAAATAAATGTAAAAAAAGAATGACTAAATAAACATCTTGGAGGTCATATCAGTTCTAGGAAAACAATAAGGAATGCTCTCCTCATACACAGACTGTCTGTAGTATTACCTGCCCCTGGGAGTACTTTTCCATGTCTTAAGAAATTTGAACTTAAAAATATGGGTGAGAATCCTGGACAACTGACTTGTCAATTAGTCTTGAAGCATGTGCTGGGCATCCAGGTTGGATACTTTGGGCAGATGCTGAGGCAGAGTTTGGGGTACAAGGTTTTAGCAATCAACACCTGTAAAGGGAAGGGTAGAAAGCAAAATTGAGCCCATGGATGAGGACCTATGACAGAGACCCAGTAAACTTGGCAAATACAGCAGATGGGGGCCTAGAGCCATGACTCAGTGGGAAAGAGTGCTTGCTGCACAAGCATGAGGACCTGAGTTCAGATTCTAGTACCCAAGTAAAAAGCTGGGATGGCCGCATGCATACTTGTGACCCCAGCACTGTGAGGGGTGGAGACAAGAGGATCCTGGGACTTACTCACTAGCTTAGCTCCAGGTTCAGTGGTAGACCCTGTCTCAAAGGGAATCAGGTGGGGAGTGGCAAAACAGGACAGCAGGTGTCCTCTTCTGGCCTCTGCACATGCACATACAGGTACCTGCACCACCTCATACACACAGGCTAATATCACACACACACATAGATGTGTGTTAAAATGAGGTATTTTATTTAAATTTTTCCATCTATTTACTATTTATTTTTATTTTATGTGTATCAGTGTTTTACCTACATGTATGTAAGTGCACCTGTGTCATGCAGTATCTGTGGAGGTCAGAAGAGGGTGCTGGATCCCCTGGAACTAGAGTTACAAAAAGTTGTTAGCCACCATGTGGGTGCTGGGAACTGATCCTCGGCAAGAATAGCAGGTGCTCTTAACTACTGAGCCATATCTCCAGCCCCTTATATTGACTATTTATTTATTTATTTATTTATTTATTTATTTAAAATGGGGTTTCCCTGTAGCCCTAGCTGGCCTAGAACTCACCATGAAGACCAGACAGGCTTCAAACTCACAGAGATCTACCTGCCTCTGCCTCTCGAATGCTGGGATTAAAGGCAAGGACTACCATCCCAGCCCCTCTTATTTTATTTTAAACTATGTGTATGTGTGTGCGTCTGTGTACGTGCATGTAAATGCACATACTGGGAACTGAATGCAAGTCCTCTGTAAGAGCAGGAAGTGCTTTTAACTGCTAAGCCATCACTCTAGCCCCACAACCTATTGTTTGTTTTTATTTTTGCTTTTGTTTTTTAAAGACAGGATCTCTGTGTCGTCTCAGCTGGCCTGGAACTCAACTATGTAGCCCAAGCTGGCCTTAAACTCACAGAGATCTGCCTGCCTCTGCCTCCTAAGTGCATATGCCACCAAGCCTTTCTTTCCACAAATTTTTTAGAAAAGATTTTGTTCATTTCTTGAAATTTGTGTATGTGTGTCTGAGTGAATGCCGTGTGTATGCAGGGGTGCTTGTGGAGGCCAGAAGAGGGTGTTGGATCCCCTTGGAGTTGGAGTTACAGGTATTTATAAGTCACCTTCCATGAGTTCTGGGAACTGAACTCAGATCCAGAGCAGCAAGCTCTCTCAACTGCTGAGCCATCCCTCCAGCCCCCTCCCCCGGAAAAACAAGCAAACAAAAAAGCCCTAATTAAAAAAAAAAAAAATACAGCACAGATTTCTGTAGATAAAGAATTGCCCAGATTTCTCTTTGAGGCTTTATGCAGCCAGATGTGGATGCTGTAGAAAGGATGCCGTCTCAGGCAAGCCCTTTCCAACAATTTAAGTAGATCATAAAGGCTAACAGTTGGAGGCTGTCCATTGGCTACACTTGGTAGAGATAGAGATGAAGGCCCTCCCTGGACCAGGATTTGGGTGGCCTCACAAGTAGTGTGCCAAAGTGAGTTTGTATTTCACAGTATGAACGGTGGCTCTCTTTACTGTGAAACCAGTGACAGAGACAGGGTACCAAGCTTGTCTCTGTTGCTACCTTACTACCTTCTCTGGGTCTTGATTTGACACCTTCAAGGTTGAACCAGAGGGTTGCTATAGTTCTGTAGCTGTTCTGTGCTTCACTGGAAACCCTAATGTGGGAGGGTGTGGGGTGGAATCATGCTGTGAGATCTCACTGTATTTCTGTGCATTTGAACCTCCACCTACCAGGTTCGTGAGCTCTATAAGCAGCGGTTGGATGAGATTACCATGTTGGAGAGACATATCATTCAGGCCCGTGCACGGGATCTTGCGGAAACAGAGCGAGCCTCCCAACAGAACAGAATACATGCTCTGGAGAGCATTGTCAAGCTGCCTCCAGGTACGTATGAAGAGTGTGCTTCTGCCTGCCCCTCTTCCATAGCTGGAGCTAGTTCACCATATCCATTCAATTGTCCACTCTTTCTGAACATTGGGAGAGAAAGTTACACACATGATATTCAATCACTACAAAAATGGGGCTGGAGAGATGACTCAGTAGTTAAGAGCACTACTTACAGAAGATGCAGGTTTGCTTCCCAGCACCCAAACAGCAGCTAACAACCATCCATAACACCAATTCCAGGGGATGCCGTGGCCTCTTCTGGCCTCTGCAGGTACTGCACACACATGGTGCACTTACATACATGCAGGCAAAACACTCATATACATAAAACAAAAATAAAAATCAAAAGGTTTAAAAGAAGAAACAAATACAATTGAAATGAGTCAGGGTGTATGTGTGGGATGTATGTGTATATGTGGTGAATGTGTGTGTTTGGTGTGTGTCTGTGAGAGTGTGTGTGCTTATGAGTGAGGGTACATGTGTATTAGATACATGAAGTCAACCAGTAGAAGTAAGGGGATGCATGCAGGAGAGTAAAGGAGATGCCTAAATATGATTAATATATATCATATGAAATTCTCAAAAAATCTACAAAAATCAATAATGTTTTTCAGCAGCTAACAACCATCCATAACACCAATTCCAGGGGATGCCGTGGCCTCTTCTGGCCTCTGCAGGTACTGCACACACATGGTGCACTTACATACATGCAGGCAAAACACTCATATACATAAAACAAAAATAAATACATTTTAAAAAGTTCAATCACTATAAAACACCCCAGTGTGCACAGTACCTCTAGAACAGTGATGCTGTACATAACCAGCGTGCAAGTCTCCAAGACAGGGCATCAGCATCAGTGTGACACTCCCCAGGCCCCCATTCTAATCCCATCAGATGTCTCACCACGGCTTTCTCTTCTCTGACCCTTCCTGTCAAGCTTTTCACATAAGCTAGGCTGCCTGACTCTACCTCCAAAGTGCTGGGATTACAAGTGCATGCCACCATGCCTAGCTTTCTTCTGTGGGTCCTGGGGATCAAACTCAAGTTCTTGACTGAGTCTTCATCTTTCTATTTCTCTGGGAGTATGGCTGAAGGTAGGTCCCTATTATAGTATTTCTAAAAAGAGAAGCTTTATATTTCCTTCACTCCTGGTATGGGCAGGATTCCTTCTTTCTACTTATTTGCTAGGCTTTAAAATAATGAGTTTGTGGGACTGGAGAGATAACTCAGTAGTTAAGAGCATGTACTGCTCTTGCAGAGGACCTGAGTTTGGTTCCCAGCACCCATGTCAGGCAGTTGGTGGCTCACAACTAACTGTACCTCCAGTTCCAGTGGATCCAAGGCCCTCTTCTGGCCTCTGAGGGCACACACACACACACACACACACACATCCCACATGCACAGACACACAAAACATCATGCAAATAAATCTTTAAAAAGTAATGAGTTTGTTTACCTCACATATTCCAATGGGACTACTGAGTTTTGTCTGTTTTAGTATCGTTGCAAGTTCATAAATGTCATAGCTGCTCTTCTATTGTCTTTACTACTGGTCAAAGTGTCCCCTTTGGCCAGTGAGAATCTTTCAAGTTGATTTCTGGCACTCATGTTTGAAAACTTCCTTGCTTTCCAGAAGAGTAAGATATTCAGTCTCAGCTGTGTATTTCTGGCTCCAGACCTGGAATCTTTCCTGGCTCCTCCCCACCACCTTCAAAGACTGTCATCTATCTTCCTAAAATCATTTTCCAGCGCAGCAGGCAAAAAGAATGGTGCAGTTAGGGTTAGCACCTATCATGTGTGTGGCCTAGAGGGAAGGAACTGGGTGTGTCCAGCCTTTTGACATGACAGACCTCACCTACAAAGTTCACACTTGAGAACCCCACAATCTAGTTACAAAAATAAAAAAAAAACAAGAACAAAAACAAAATAATCTTATAACATTTTAAGTTTTGAGTGGGTCAGAATTCAGTTATCCGGGGGCACATATGATCCTCTGGCTGCAGGTTGGACACACCTGGGTAGGGGAGCAGGAGGGAGAAGTAGAAGTTGTGTTCAGTAGTGTTTACATTTATGAGAACCTGGGAGGGGAGAGAGGTTATGAGATGTTGCACAGGTTATCCCACTAAACACTTCCAACAACAATTTTCAACAATTTTCAGATACAGGAATTAAACTTAGATGATCAGATGACTTGGCCACCAAGTCTCACTGCTTAGAAAGGGTGAGACTTGGATTTGAACGTGGCTATATCTGCTGTCACGGCCCATCTTTCCTCTGTAAGGGGAACCACGATAGTGTCCCGGGGTGTCAATGGCTTCCCTGAGCTTGAGGCTCTATTCTTTGTGAGACCTGCCACCTGAGAGGCTCTGGTCCAGTGGACAGTGAACAGTCAAGTATAGAGTCCCCATCTTCCTGTTTTCTCTATTGTAGAAGAGAATAGTTCCTGGATCTCCCCAAATTTGCCAGCATCAGATGAGGTGGACCTCAGTATGTCCTGTCTTTGATAGGCTCTCTCCCTCCCTCCTTCCCTTTCCCCTTCTCCCTCCCTCTCTCCCTCTCTTTGCTAAATATCAGGGGACAGGACATTAAATACCAAACTACTTGTATTTTTTGTATATTTAATTATCTTTATACCCCCTTATCCATCAGCACCCACCCATAGCACCCTCCCCCCAGATTTCATGCATTCTGTCATTAAAAGGTAAGGCCTAGCAAGTCAAGTTAGTGTCCCCTGGTGTCCTTCAGTACAAGTTCATCCACTGGGGTCTAGTCAGCCTATCTAGAGTCACTCCCTTAAAGAAGATCAGCTAGCTCTTCCTCACTCAGCAGTAATCAGCCCAATAGTTCTTTGGCTAAGATTGAGTCCTGCTGTCCCTTTCCACAGCCCTATGCTGGGTTTTTGTCTGCTTGAGTTTGCATGGGTCTTGTACATGCTGACACCATTGCTGTAGGTTCATATGAACAAGGTCCCAGGAGCCTGTAAGACTCTATTTCCATATGGTCATGCATCTCCTCCCCTGGCTCTTACAATCTTTCCGCTCCCTCTTCCACAATGGTCCCTGAGTCCTGGGTTCATTGCCCTCTGTTGCATGAGGGAGCTTCATTGATGAAAATTGAGAGATGCATCAGTATTCTCTCTACCCCTTGTTCTGCTATGTCCCATGAGTCTTAGGTGTAGAGGTTCTACTGTAGATGTGTCACTTATGGTTGGGCGTTTCACACACACTTAATCTCTGTGTGTGACCAGATGTGGAACTCTGTAATAGTCTCTGTCTGTTGCAAAAGAAGCTTCTTTGATGAGAGGTGGCTGGCATACTTGTCTGTAAATATAAGGATCCATATTTAACACATAGTAAGAAATTACGCTTGTCTAGGGATGTGATAGCCTTAGGGTTTTCTCCAAGATCTGTGACTTCTCCAGCCATTTGGCTATGTTTACAGTACTACACAGGAGTTCCTTACTATTGAATGGGCTTTAGGTCCAATTAGGTAGCTGTTGATTACACCCAAGGTAAAAGTGACACTACTGCCCCAATATAGTTTGCTGTGCTGGTCATTGTTGTGGTTATTAGGCCTTAAAGTTGGGGTTGGACTATTGATTGATGTTTCCCTTAACAGCTTTCATAGTGATCTCTAAAACTATGAGAGCTAGCCTTCAGGGAGGTGGCTTCCAGGTCAGTTCCATCTCCATTGCTCCAAGTCCTGTATCAAAAGTATGTCCTGTCTTCAGTAATAGAGTCTTACCTTCAAGTTCTGGGAGGCAATCAAGGGCTGAAGCAATAGCCTGTATAATTTGGGGAGTCTCTTGGGCTACTGTATCCAGCAACTTGAAGGAAGGTTTCTCCTGTCTGGCACTGTTTCTTGTTATATAGCCTTCAGGTATACATATGGACTCATGTAGAGATAGGGTGTGTGTAATTTTTCAATAGGTTTTTCAACTAATATGATTCCCTCTGGTTTTTTACATCAGCTAGGCATTATTTATCTCTTCTTTCTTTCTCCCTGTCTAACCCTCTCTCCTCTCTCCACAGTTAAGGTACCCCCATTTTCCGCATTTCACCCTTGATAATACCTGTCTTCTGTGGTTCCCCCCCACCTTGAGCTCCTTTACCCCCATTTTTTTTTGTCTTTTTGAAGCAGGGTCTCCCTGTAGCCCTAGCTGTCCTGGAACTCACTATATAGACCAGGCTAGCCTTGAACTCACAGAGATCCACCTGCCTCTGCCTCCCAAGTGCTGGGACTACAGGCGGGTGCCACCACGCCTGCTTTTTTTTTTTTGTCTTTTTTAGACAGGGTCTCCCTGTAGCCCTAGCTGGCCTGGAACTCACTATATAGACCAGGCTAGCCTTGAACTCACAGAGATCCACCTGCCTCTGCCTCCCAAGTGCTGGGACTACAGGCGGGTGCCACCACGCCTGGCAATTTTTTATATTTGGTTTTTAAAGAAAATGAAATATTGAGAGCCAGGAGAGCCAGGAGACAACCATCAGTTAGGAGTTTTTCAATACAATTCCCTCTAATTTTATACAATATAATACTGGGTTTTGTTTGTTTGTTTTTCTTTTTTTTTCTCTTTTTTTGTGTGTCTTTTTGAGACAGTGTCTCTCTGTAGCCCTCGCTGGCCTGGAACTTGTTATGTAGACCAGACTGGCCTTGATCACAGAGCTCCACCTACCTCTGCCTCCCAAATACTGAGATCAAAGGAGTGTGCCACCATGCCCAGCACAATTTTTTAAATGTATGTGTGTTTTTCCTGAATATACGAAAGTGCATCTGCATTGTGCAATGTCTGCAGAGGCCAGAAGAGGATGTTGGACCCCCTAGAACTGGAGTTAGGAATGGGTGTTAGCTGCTATGTGGGTGCCGAGAATCAAATTTTGGATCACTGAGCCATCTCTCCAGCCCCTTGTTTATTTTTGAGATGACTCAATATGTAGCCCAGGCTGATCTCAAACTCACATTGACCTTCCTGCCTCAGTCTCCTGAGTGCTGGGACCACAGGTTTATACCATCCCATCGGCTTGATTATAATCAGTCTTGCTGCCCTGGTTTCTTACCCTTCTTCTAGTAATGTGTTTTACTTTTATTTCAAAAGTGACAGGAAAAGAAACCCTAGTATATTTCACAGGCATCCATCTGGTTCCTGAGAGCAAGGCAGTAACCCCAGGATGTCTTTCATAAGACAGATAAAAGGTGATGAAGACATTCTCCAACAGCTTTTATAATTTCAGGCACAAACAAACCATTTCTGTCCAGGAGTAGAAATGCCACAAAGTAGGCGCCATTGGTCACTTCTTCAGACAGGTGGAGAAAGATCAGAATTCTGCAGAATAGCTCGTGTGCTCATTCCCTCCCTCTCTGGTCAGTGATCCACGTTATCTTTTGAAGACTGGAACAAAAAGACAGCCCCTTTCAGAGCCTCAGTTAGGATCTATGGAGTTAGTGTAGGAAGCCCAGCCTTCCCAAAAGGAAGAATGTGGACACAGGGCCAGCACAGGGTTTTCTGTAGGTCTGGGTCTGATATAGTAAGAAACTCTTCAAAGATCTGATGAAGAAACTGCCTTGATGGGGGCTGAAGAGACTGCTCGGTTAAGAGTGAATATTGTTCTTGCAGAGGACCCAAGTTCAAGTCCCAGCATGAGTTTGGTTCCCAACACCCATGTCAGATAAAAAGCAATTGTCTGTAACTCCAGATCTAGGGGATCTGATGCATCTGACCTCCTCAGGCACCTGCACTCATGTGCACATACCCATACACAGATGCATATACATACACATAATTAAAATAAATCTTTAAAAAAGAAACTGGGGGCTGGAGAGGTGGCTCAGCAGTTAAAAGCACTAGCTGCTCTTGCAGTGGACCTGGGTTGGTTCCCAGCACCCACATGCGATCCACAGCTGCCTATAACTCCAGTTTCAGGGGATCCAGTGCCCTTTTCTGGCCTCTGCAGGCACTATACATGTGTAATATGCTTACATACATGCAGACCAAACACTCATACACAGAAAATAAAACTAAATAAAAAAAGTGCATCTCTCCCCAGTGGTTACAGGATTCCTGAGAGGCCCCAGGTGAGTTTTGGAAGGGGAGGCCATCAGCCTCAAGAAGCAGTAGCCTGTGAGTCACTGGTTGTCAGGCTTTTTTTGTTGTTGTTGTTTATTTTTAACTATGTGTGTGCATATGTATGTGTACATGTATGTCTGTGTGGTTAAGTGCACATGAGTACAGTGCCCACAGAGGCCAGAAGAGGGCATAGGATCCCCAGAAGCTGGAGTTACAGGTGGATGGGAGCCACCAGACATGGGTGCTGGGAACCAAACCCATGTTCTCAGCAAGAGCAGCAAGTGCTCTTAACTGCTGAGCCATCTCCCCAGCCCCTGAGAAATGCATTCTTCACTGTCTTGCTTTCTGGAGCCCGCCAGAAAGGAAGACTGTGAAGACTGTTTCAAAATGCTTTATCCCAGGATACTGTTTGTTAATGAAATAAGCAATAAAGTTTGCAAACTTCCTTATTTTTATCAAAATAATAGTTATACATGTCAATAATAATAACTTAGAACTTTTATTTTTCTCACGTCCTGAGTGCTGGAATTACAGAGTTCACCACCAGGTCTGGTTTATGCAGTGCTGAGGATCAAATACCCCAGGGCTTTATATGCACTAGGTGAGCACTCTACCAACTAAGCCACATCCCCAGCTCCTAGGAAAACTTCCTATGCAGCATAAGAAGTCTCCATCTATTATGTCAAATGCATAGACCACAGCACCAAGAGTGAGTTCTCACAGAAGACACTGGGTGATAACGATATGTCAACATGGGCTCATTGTTTCTAGCAAGTGTACTGTTCTGGTGAAGGATGCTGGGAATGGGGAAAGCAATGTGAGTACAGGGGCTGAGGGGACATAGAAACTCTCAGTTCTTTCTTTTCAGTTTGGCTGCTAAACTCTAACCTTTCCAAAATACAAACCTAGGGCTGTCAAGATGGCTTAGCCAGTAAAGGCACTTGCCACCCGAGTTCAATCCTGGGGACCCACATGGTGGAACAAGCGAGCCAATTCCTGCAAGTTGTCCTCTGAGCTCTACATTCATGCTGTGGTGAATGGGCAACACATACACACGTAATAATAAAAAAGTTAACTACTAACCTCCTCTTTGCCACCCTCAGGCTCAGTTCACTTGCCAAAAGTAACCATATCTAGTCAGATCTTCTGGATACCAATAATGTTATTTATATGTTATATAAACAATATATAATAAAATGTTTTTACTATGTTTTACTTCTTGGCTCATCAAGAAGTAAACAAACATCAGCTTCCCACTCTGTTAAATGAGACTATCTCTTTGAAAGTCTTTGGATCAGTGGGAGCTGGCTTAAGTTGCACTTGGTGCTTGCTGTAGACTGAGCTCAGCTATGTTCCACGTGACTTTTGTACTGGTATCCGAGATGAAGGGAAAAGGAGGCTCTTTTCTGTTGATGGCCAAAGCTCACTGTACAAGTGATGCTGTCAGAATGGTGCTGTCTAAGGTTGCAGGAACAGATTCTTTTTCTTCCCGGATTTAAAGAATAAAAAGGCAGGAAAAGGAAGATCTCAGGACTCAGTCAAGTTTTATTGAAAGCAGAAGCACACACACAGACATACACACACAGCAAAGCACATAAAAAGACAGACTCCCCAGTGGGCGGAGGACCCAAAGGTGGTGTTCAAGTCTGCAAAGAGGTGGTGGTGGGCTTTTAAATTTGGGAATGGGATGAGTTCCCTTTCTCCCTGAAATTAGTTGCTTTGGGTTAGCTCAGAGGATTGGAGAACCAGAAAAAGGCAAGAAAGCTGATTGGCTTCTGCCACAGGAATCCTCCAGTGGGAGATTTGAAAGTCCACTAAACAGTTCCCTCCAGCAGGAAAACAGCCCACCAAGTCTTTGTCTTAAATAGGGAGAACCAGGAAGTTGGCCATCTCTTTTCCCTATCTGTCTGCCTACCAGGGATCTGCCTGACTCCTAATCTCTCACAAGCACATTTCAAAGCCTTGCCAACACAGTTGGTCAAAGTCAAAGGTGAAGAGGTATGCTCTGTTGAGGCAGGCGAGCATAGTGAGTGCTTAGCAACTCAGGACTCTGCTTGGCTGAGCTATTACACACACCTTTCCCTAACCATGCACTTAGCCACCTGGGACCCTCACATGCATTGGGCCCCACTTTAAACATTGCAATAGGTTACTCCTCCCTAACAATCCTTTAATAACTTCATTCAAACATGTCTTAGAATATGTCCGGGAACTAGAGACAGGCTGAGCCAGTTTTGGGTGCATGTACAGGAAAGCAAACTGTCCTCTGAGTGAGTTTTAAGGGAAAATCTCCTATTTGTCATCCTTCACCTATGCATAATTGGGCATGCATATGATTAAAATCAGACACATTATGGGAAAGGACTTGTACAAAAAAGAAAGGCTTGCCTAACTCAAGCTTGTCAATCTAAACAGAAAACCACCTATGCAACACTGTTTTGCAACCAACGCCTCCTCTTCCTGGACCTCATAAAAGGAAACCCCAAACAACTGAGGCTTGTGGGCACTCCAGCTTAAGTAGCCTGCCACGCCCTTGCATCCTGTACTGTCTCTTTAAATAAAACTTTTTGATGCTTTATTATTTGCATGTCCTTTTTCAATTCTTTTAATAAGACACCAAGAACCTGGAAACACCACATCCAGACTGCAACTACTCACCAATGACACTGTCTGTAGTCACATTGTAATGGACAGACATCCAGAGATGGGTGAAGAATTGGGATCATGTATTCCATCTGCTGTACTTCGTCTTTTGTTGTCACAGACCCCATGTATAAGAAGAATTTAGCTCAAGAATCCCATGCATATCTTTGCCCCATCATTGGCCTCACTTAAGTGGCTTAGAAATACTTGATGGTTAGTTTTTTTAATCTCAGCATCACCACAGGATTCTAAGAATTTCTTTAGACAGTGTTGGTTTGGGCAGGGAGAGTGTTTGGGTTCAGTTGCTTCTACTCGCTTCTACTTGGGTCTGGCCTGAAATGCCTTTGTCCTCATTCCCTCCTGTATAGTGAAGACCGTCTTCAGGTGGTGTGTAGACAGCGAGTTGCTGCGGAAACATAACTTGATCTGCCCAGAGGATTATTACAACGATCCTGTGCCATTTTGCTCAGCGCCTAAAGGTAACACATCTGCCCTCATAGCCTCAGGTAGCACACAGGTGATGTCCTGTGGCAACAGGCCCACCTCGGCCACCTTTGTTGCTATTTCTTCATTCGTATGATTTTTTTTCCCTCCTTTAATTTCTATAGCGTATTGGAAGGGTCACGTGTGAGTGACCTATTTCACTAGCTCTCTCAATACTTTCACAGCAAAAGTTCTATATCCACCATATAGGATATGATGCCTTTATTGACTGCCCAACACCTAGAGATACAGAAATGTTTAGATGTAGTTGAATGACTCAGCAAAGGGGATTGAAGGCATGGATAAGCAGGAGATCAAGTCTCTAATGGAGGCAGAGTGAACCCAGGGCCTTCCCAATGCAGCTTTTTTATCTATTGATAATGGGCCTAAAGATGGGTTGAAAGGCTAGTGTGTGTGTGTGAGGGGCGGGGGGAGATCAGGAAGGCAAGATCTTCTGAGAGTGAACAGGACGGGGTCTGCTGTTTTCTTATACTGGAAGGTAGGTTTTGGAAGAGTCACTGTGTAAATGCAGAGAAGTCACTGTGGGGCCTGTGGACAAGCACCAGCATTGATGAATGGCACCAGGCTTGAAAGATAAGATCCCCAGCAGCCCCAGTCAGAGGGACCATGTGGTGATCTCTTGGAGATTTGCAGTCATTTTGGATGGAAAGATTCAGATCCAGAGAACTGAGGGTGGTAATGAGTTTCCCTGATTGGTTCCTGAATGGTGGTGGGAAAGGCAGAAAGAGGTGGCAGAATCAGCTGTGCTGAGATGCTAAGCCACTAGGTGTCTTATAGTTATTTGGAGACCTGATACAGGTAGGTAAAGATGAAGCTCACTCATTGAGGGCTTACTAGGTATTGTGTTAAGATGGGAGTCGGGGCAGGGAGGTACTGGTTTCATTAAATTCTTGCTAGCAGCAAATGCCCTCCTTTAGCCTTGGAGGAAGATATAAAAGGCTAATGCAAATGCTGATTCTTCATGTGAGCTTTTTATTATTTTTATTCTTTTATTCTTTTAGTCATTTTGAGACAGGGTCTCCCTGTAGCCCCAGCTGGCCTGGAACTCGCTATGTAGACCAGGCTGGCCTCACAGAGATCCTCCTGCCTCTGCCTCCCAAGTGCTGGGATTAAAGGAGTGCACCACCATGCCCGGCTTCACGTGAGCTTTTTAAAAAACTGTGCTCACTATCCAACTGTGACTAGTAATAACCAGATATATAGAGATTAGAAATGCATGTCATGTGCAAACATCTTAATGTCAATTGCATTGAAAATGAAACTGTATTTTAATAATTTCTGTATGAAACTGTGTACTTTAATAATGAAATGGATATCTTTTTTAAAGGTTAAAACCTCATTTAATTTTATATCTTACAGAGTTTATACTGAGTACAATATTGTATAACTGTATTAATTCAACTGTAAACCTAAAAAATTTATAGCCAATTTTGAAAGAGATGCATCTTAGCTCTGGAAATTGTTATTGAATATGTCAATGCTGTTGTAATGAAATGCTTCTTCTAATTATGTGATTATTAAATAATTAAAAAAAAAACTGTGCTCACATCCAGGGTCTTTCTGCATGTGTGTGGCAATGGTCCACACACCATTTTTTCTTCACCTAACTATGCTGGAAAATTGAAAGATATTTTAACCTGGTAGCCCCAAGTCTCAAATACATAGAGTAAGTTCCAGGAATAATTCATACACTGAAGAGTAATTGGGGGCTGGAGAGATGGCTCAGCAGCAGTTAAGAGTACTGGCTACTCTTGCAAAACACCTGGGTTTGGTTCCCAGCACCCATATGGTGGCTAACAACCATCCATAACTCCAGTTACAGGGGAATCCAACATCGCTCTCTTCTGACCTCTGCAGGCATTGCATGACTCGGGTGCACTTACATATATACAGGCAATGCACTCATACACATAAAATAAAAACAATAAAAAAAAGAGTAATTGTACCTAGTGTAATGAATATAAAACTTTGGAAAAAATGACCTGCCTGTGGCTTTGGTCGTTTTATTTAGCCACCTTAGATGCATCCTCTTCCTCCCTGTGGTCTAGCTAACTCTTTGTTTCCTTGGTGCCGCAGGTACCTCCATCCCTGGATGTTCGAAACCAACATTTAGTTGTGAGAAGCATTCCATCCCCAAACAAGAGCTGGACAAGCAGCCCAGCAAGCCCTGTAAGAAGCCTGTTGTATTTGATGATGAGTTTGAGTACACCATAGACAGTCTGTCCTATGCCTCAACTTCTAAGGTCAAACAAAGGACCAAAGACACTGTCAAGGTGAGGACTGAAGTCTGAACACAGTAGTATGTGGGGGCACTGGGGGAGGGAGGTGGTAAGAGGGGAGGAGTTCAGAACCCACGGGTTCTGAACCCACTGGCCATCTGTGGTTCACGCACTTGAGCAAGAGTCAACACTTGCAGTCCCTTTCCCTGTCATTGACTGTACTTTCATGTGCTTCAAAGAAAGCAAGTTCACCTATGAACAAAAAGTGGATGAACCACTTGCGGGTGCCACAGAGGGAACTGGAGAGACGTCTGCTGGCCAGGATGGAGACTCGGAATCATTTCCTCAAAAACCCTTGTTTTTTCCCACCTAATACTCCACATGGAGGCAAGTCTCTCATTGTTCCTCCAAGGAAGCAAGCAGGAAGAGCAGGATCACAGAATGCACAGCCGGAAGGCAGGTGTGTCCTTCACTGACGTAGAGTCTCAGGAAAGCTGACCCTTTACAGTGAGATTCTGGATCTGATCTGACTATAGGGGAATAAAGGTTGTTGTGGGCTCCTTATTGACATCCAGATGGTGTGGATCTGGAGGAATCTGTAGTCATGAGATCCTTCCACAGTGTACTGGTTACTTTTTTCTCATTGCTGTGACAAAATAACTGACAGAAACAACTTAGGAAAGGAAAGGTTTATTTTGACTCCAGGTCTCCAAGGGTTTCATCCATCATGGTCGGGAAGGGTGTGTGAGAGCAGAGCAGCTCACTTTATGGAGGCCAGAAGTGGAGAAAGGAGAAATACTAGCTAGACTTCTTCCTTTCCACTTTTTCTTCTGTTTTAGTGCCCCAACCTGTGAAATGCGACTGGTACTTATCAAGGGTCTGCTCCCCTCAGTAAATCCTCACAGACACACCCAGTATGGAGTATGCCCTGTGGCCAGCTGGATGTGTTCACTTGTTAATCAGTCACTGCATAATCCTGTGTCATGCTGATGAAACTCAGTCCTTCTCCCTTTTCCCTCCTACAGCTGTGTAGATACTCCAGTATTTCTAGCTAAACCGTCAGTTGGATTTTTCACAGATTATGAGATTGGACCAGTTTATGAGGTAGAAATCTTGTTTCTTTATATTACGGAATTTTTAGACCATCCACAAAAGTAGGGAAAAGACTGTAACATAGGCTCATGTGCCTGCCACCCAGCATCAATAGCAACCTGTGTTGGGCAAATCTGTTTTCATTCAGTTTTCCTGTGTCTGTCCATGCACACAGCAGTGCCCTGGAGTATTGTGAGGGAAGTGTACACAGCGAATGATTCTTCAGTTAAAGCTTAAGAATCTCTAGCACAAAAGGACCTTTAAAAATGAACTATTAAGCCAGGCATGGTGGCGTATGCCTTTAGTCCCAGCACTCTGGAGGCAGAGGCAGGTGGATCTCTGTGAGTTCAAGGCCAGCCTGGTCTACATCATGAGTTCCAGGCCAGCTGGAGCTACAGGGTACAGGGAGACCCTGTCTCAAAAAGACCAAAACCAAAACCAAAAATGATTTACCCAACTTCAGTAGTTACCAGCAGGTGGCAAGCTTAGTTCTTTCGGAGCTCTCCTCCTTCCTATAGCATTTAAAGCTGGGCCAGTGAGATGGCTCAAAGACACTTGCCACTTAACATGACAACCTGAGTTTGATCCCCAGAGACCACAGGGTAGAAGGAAAGAACTGACTCCTTCGGCCTCCACATGCGTGTGCACCCCACCACACAAATACATTTAAGTTAAAAATATTTAAAATAAATCCCAGACTTCACACCATTGGACCCTTGGATGCCTCAAAGAGATCCCTTTACCTTTGTGTAGATGGTAATCGCGCTGCAGAACACCACGGCGACCAGCCGACACCTGCGAGTCCTCCCGCCTTCTTCTCCATACTTTAGTCTGGGGCTGGGTGAGTTCAAGAGCGTAACTTCCTAGACTGCCTCAAAATAACGTGTTGGCTGCTGGTTTCTAATATGCTAGCTCCCATGACTCCGCCCCATCCTGAGCTCCGCCCATCTCTCTGTAACCAGTCCCTGGGGTCCCTCAGGCGCAGCCCACAGCCGGTTGCTCCTTCCTGGTGAGGACCCAGCATCTTGTCAGCGCCCCTCTCCTCACCTTTCTCTAGGCTCTGATTCTGCCAGTTCCCCAAGTCATGCTGTCATTGCCCTTGATCATGTGCTCTTGGTTGCTCACATCGCCACGGAAACCTCCCAGCCACCCTTCTAGTTTCAATGTATGCTATGGTTCAAGACCTCTGGGTCTTAGTCAAGCATGATGGCTCACGCTTGAAATCCTACTACTCAGAAGGCTGAGGGAAGAAAAGTGCTACAAATTCGAGAGCAATCTAGGCTAGAGCATGTCAAATCAAAAACCAAAACAAGACCTTGTTACTCTCACTCAAAAAGTGTTCTCTGCTACCTACAAAATAAACCTCCTGCTGTAGGGCCAGGCACTCTCCACCCATCCACTTCACATGGGTCCTGTCACTCCTCCTTGGGCGCTGCTAGTGTTACCTGAGCACTACTCCTGCATGTGCTGGGCAGCTGTGCCATCAGCCTTGCCTTGGCCCAGAAGGCCTGGACTCAGGACCAGCCCTAGTTGTGGTTGGTGTCTGTTGCATGACTTTCCTTGGGGAGATGTGAACCAATGTCCATTTACCCCAGAAGGGGACCAACAAGAGACCCAAGTAATGATTCCATTCAATATAGCTTGGTGAACCAATGAGTTTGCTGGGGTTACTTACAGGAGTAAAGGTGAGGAGTTTACTTATGGAGTTGTGTCACCAGAAGTTTCGCCTCAGTATGAGTGACCACTTGTGCATCCTTGGAGCTTCCTGCCCAACTTGTAGGCAGCTCCACAAAAGAGTCTCCTCTCCCTCTGCAATCATTCCCTGCTTATGTTCTGTGGGGGAGGGGCCTTGTGAGTCTTGTAGCTGTGCTAGCTTCCTGAGTCTCATACACCTCTATCTTCCCTCCAGGAGGAAATGTTCAGTTTGAACAAAATAGTTATACAGCAGCATTTGAAGCAGAGGAGCCCAAACCCTGGTGGGCAGCTGGTCTCTCATCTTCATTGGTCTCCTGCTTTTGTTTTGCACAGGGATGTTCCCAGGAAAAGGTGGGATGGTGGCTCCTGGGATGACCTGCCAGTACCTCGTCCAGTTTATTCCCGACTGTCTTGGGGATTTTGATGATTTTATTTTGGTTGAGACTCAGTCTGCCCACACACTTGTCATCCCCCTGCAGGCCCGGAGGCCACCCCCAGTGCTAACCTGTGAGTGTGCACTGCACCTTTCTGGGGCTTGGGTTAGGGGTGGGGAGTCCCTGTGAAGCTGGACTGCTTCTTAGGATTCCTTGAAAGTGGGACAGATCTTTGGAGTCTACCAGCGGCTCCCACAGTCTTCTTGCTTGCATTAGGAATTCCAAGTGATCCAGGAGGGTAAGATATATCTGGGCACCCAGAGGATACCCTCATAAGTATTGTCACTGGGGCTAGGGTGAGGGTGGGGTCAGGGACTTCCTTACAAAAGCTGACTTCAGCTGGGTATTCTCAGGCTTGAGCTCCTGAGCTGAACACAGGTGACATTTGGAACTCTGACCCCTCCTCTTGGGCCAGGGGTTGGCCCTGGCCCAGATATGAGTCTGCAGTGGGTGCTGACTCCCATGGTACTACTGCCATATGACCCAGCAGCACCCTGGGCAGCGTCCAAGTGATACAGATGTCAGGGTGTCCCATCTGTCCTTTCTGCTCAGGGTGCTGGGTTGGGGGTGGGAGGCTCTGAGCTCTGGCTGGACCTCAAGAGAACAGTGGCATCAGGGTCATTTAGAGTGAGGTGTTACCCTTCTTTTTTATTAACAAAGTTTATTACATTTGTGTGTATACATGTATGTAGTATGTGTGTGTATATGTGGATGGGTGGGTGCATGTGTACCACCATGTACATGTGGAGGTCAAAGAACAACTTGTGGGAGGGAGTAAGTTATCTCCTTCTACCATGTGGGTCCTGGGGATCGAACTCAGATCGTCAGGCTTGGTGGCAACTGCCTCTACCCATTAAGCTGTCTCCCTGGCCTTATGTTGTCCTCCTTGAGCATCTTTTCTTGTGGCTACAGTGGCACCGGTGTTGGACTGTGGCTACTGCCTCATTGGAGGAGTAAAGATAACCAGATTCATCTGCAAAAATGTGGGCTTCAGCATTGGCAAATTCTGCATCATGCCCCAAAAGAGTTGGCCACCGCCAAGTTTCCAGGTGAGTGAGCCAAGATTGCTACCTGGGAAAAGAGCAAGTTCACCAAAGGAAATGACCTACCTGGAAGAGGCTGCTGGATTACACCACTGACTAGCAGAGTGATATAACTATACATCTCATTGCTGTGGCCTGAGAGAGAATTGTACAGAGATTAGGCATTACTTCCAGTCACGCAATGGACACCTGTGCAACCCCTGGCAGGTGGATCCCCTCTCTCTCTTTTTTTTTTTTTTTAGATGGGGTCTCACTGTGTAGCCCTGGTTGGCCTCACACTCACAATGTAACCCAGGGTGGCCTTGAATTCACAGAGATCTGCCTGCCTCTTTCTCCTGAGTGCTGAGATTAAAGGTGTGCACCATTACATCTGGTCACTTTTTTACTCTTTAAAAAAAATTATGTGTATGAGTGTATTGCCTACATGTACATAAGTGCACCATGTTGTGCAATGCCCATGGAGGTCAGAAGAACATGTCAGATCTCCTGGAACTGGAGTTATGAACGATTGTTAGTTGCCATGTGGGTACTGGGAACCAAACTCAGGTCCTCTGCAAGAGCAGCCAGTGC